CCTGCTGAGGTGGCAGGAACTCAGCACTTCCCGTTATAGCTCTAGACCTGACCCAAGGTGGATGGTTAGTGTCTCAGTTAGGACAGCGCCACTGCCAGTGGCTCTGTAGTTCCCCGGCTGTGGTGTCTCTCCAGATGCTAGCAGACTGTGGTGGTGTTGACCCTTCTCTGACCAACGGAGGCATGTGTGAGAGCTGCTTCACACTCTCCGGGTCTCTGATGCCTCACTTCTCTCTAGTCAGTGTGGAAACGCCTTCACTCGGCACCCAGGACTCCTGGAGGGACGTCGCACAGCAGAGGGCTTGGACTCCTAGTGAAACAATGGTCAGTTACTACACAGCCCTCTCCTTCCCAGGAAGCACCCACACTCATTAGGGACAGAAGTGAGGGCAGAGGGGCTCTACCCCACATTGCATTAATGTCTACCCCACGGTCAGATCTCTGCTGATAGTGACTTTTTCTCCCTCTTGGGGACCCTTCTGCAATCTGGCTTCTCTGCCATTCACTCATCAGACATGCCAATTAATGTGTGAGCCCAGTTGTGGCCAGGACTCAAGATCCTTCCCCCGTGAAGAATGAAGTCAGGAGATGGCCAGATACCTGTTTTTACATTCCAGAATGTTCTGTGAGAGTCAGGAAGCTTGTTTATTCAGCTTCTAGCACAGGAAGATGTCACCCAACTCTACACAATGTTCATGTCTGGGTCCTTCTTAGCTCCAGCCAAGCCAAGCAGTCCTGTTACACATAAATAGTAATGCTGTGTTTTCATTGCTCAATAATATCCAATAATAAAGACTGTTAATGCACTTACTAAAAATATGACAATCCTTCACAATGTAATTAAATCTACTAAACAATATAGTTACTTCACTTCTTGGATTAAAAAATACAATTAGAAATCACTCTAACATTTAAAACCAATATCAGTATAACAATATAGCATATAATACACTTTAATATGATAATATAGACATAACAATTTAATATAGGCCTAATAATTTTTAAAAATCTCAGGGCCGAGCTTGGCCAGTGAGGCTCTGTGATTGAGTGTCAACCTATGAACCAGGAGGTCATGGTTCGAATCCCGGTCAGGGCACATGCCTGGGTTGCAGGTTCGATCCCCAATGGGGGCTGTGCAGGAGGCAGCCTATCAATGATTCTCACTCATCATTGATGCTTCTATCTCTCTCTCCCTCCCCCTTCCTTTCTCTGAAGTCAATAAAAATATATTTCAAAAAAATCTCAGGGCTGAATAAGTTAAACCTGGAATTATGAATTCATTCTCTTTTGTTATGTCTGGGCAGGCTTTGCAAATGCAAAAGGAGGTGTTTCTTTTGCTATGGATGTTAAGTTACTAACATGACACTTTCTTTGTAGCATTTGAACTTGAATGGTCATTTGAAGAAAAAAGAAAAGAGAGGAAGGATATGGAGAACCAGTGGAGGATGGGTAATGTGAAAGGGGAAGAGTGCCTACCATCTCACCTTACTGCTGCGGGGTGGGTGTTGGGGCCCTGACCACGCCTCCCCAGGCCTGAAAACCTCCATCAAGCCTCGTGGGCTTTATATGCCACCAATGCCAACTTGTCACCATCGAGGCAGCTGCTCCTGCTGCGGGCACCTTTCCCTAGTCCCTTCTGGAGGGCTCGGAAGGCATGGTGGGTGCCCCAGGGCAAGGAGGACAGAGAAGGATCACACCCCGGCCCAGCAACCCCGGGGATCTGAATCCAGTGACTTCTCTAGGCCCTGCTAATGTGTGAGGGTGACTTCCTCTTCATTGTGACACTTCAAGGACACAGATATAAAAAGGCATCCAATGCCCAGGAAGAAATATCTTCACGGTGTACGTAGTAACTGCCTTGCTGAGGTTAGGATACTCTGGGTGGGCTTCCTCCTCCAAAGGCAATCTCTCCCTGCAAGGCGACCTTCAAATACAAAGATGGCAGCTGAACCATGGTCCTTGCTACATGGATTGATATTTGGTTATGAAGAAAAGGTGAAACCTTGTATATTCTAACGTAAAGATAGAATTAGTTGGAAAAGGAACCAGACTTTCAGGTAGAAGATCCCCACTGGGCTTGTTGGATCATTGAATTAGATAGTGACCCTGGGCAAAGCGCCTCAATCTCTCTAAATCTCGGTCTCCTACCCTGGAAAACAGTGATGGTAAGCGCATTCATCACACTCATCTTCCAGGGCTGCGGTGAGTAGGAAATGATGCCATTCATGTGGAAGCACTTTATTCAAATGGAAAGCACATCCGGTTTGAAGTGCGAATGCCGGCTTCTGCGTCTCTCAGACCTCACAGTATTCCTCTTTCCTCTTCCTCCCCTTCTCATCCGAAGACTCCTCTCCCTACCCCCATCATGATGGGCTCAACCTAAAACTGCAACTGGCAGTCCTCCAAATTTAACTCCTTTCCCGACTGGGGGGTGGGGTGGCAGTATCCCCATTTAATCCTTCCAGGGGCAAGGGCTGAGATGGGACAGAATCCCTGGTCCCTCTGTCCAGCGTGATGACCCTGCAGCAAACAGCCTCTTTTAACCCAAACCCATCCTAATCACTGAGCATGCCCAGACCTCCCTCTTGAGCCGCCAAAGGATGGGCAACATCTCTGCACAATTTTGACAGCGTAGAGAAGGGCGGGGCTGTAATCTACCAGATGGAGGAACTGGTATTGATACAGGGGAAGACGCGGGGATGCGAGTGAGAATCCACCCGGGACCGTGTTAGTGGCACAAATCCCCACACATCGTTAGCCTGCCTCGCCATACACAATGCACTCATCACAGCCCCCCATCTTCTACCCAACTCTGGGCACGCGCCCCGCACTTAGATCTCCAGCACGCGGCTCTGGCGCAGTGCGCAACAGGGGTGGGTGGGGGTACCGGACCGGGAAGGTCTGGTGCTTTAGGGATTGGGCTACAATTTGCGCCTTTTCATACCCGTTCAAAACACTCCCCTGCGCCCTTTTTGTGGCGCAGTTAGCGGTACGTGGCGCCCCCCGCCCCCCCGCACTGCCTGCACCCTAGCTCACTATATATCAGCTGTCGTGCTGGGCTGGAATTTGCAGACTGCATTCTGGGTTACACTCCCAGGGGCCCGCAGATCTATGTCTCTCTTTGTACCACCCTCCCCTCCCCCCATCATTTGCTACGTGCCTCGGCATTTCTCTCGGCCACGCTGTGCGCCCCCCTGCCCGCCCTCCCACACCTCAGTGGATGAACTAAGTGGGAACCCTCTCGTTTCCATCTCTGCTCCCAAAGCCTGTGGGTGGACTGAAGCTCTGGGGGCCCAGGCGTCGCACAGCCCCAACCTCTGCGGGGCCTGCGCCATCCCTTCTCCATCCTATGAGGCCCC